CTAAAAATCACTCAGCATCACTGAAATTGCGCTATGTCATCGCTGTGACCCAATCTCTCTCTCCCTTCCTCATCACTTCACCGTGATGCCAAGCAATTTTCTGTTTTAACTGTCATTTTATTCCTTTTGAGGCTCCACACTTAAGATACACTTCTGGTGTCATCTCTGGCATCTTGACAATGTCCCTTGTTTGAATTGAAGGGTGGCTAAAGCTTTACCAAAGGGGCTTAACCTTGCCTACCTCTCACCATCAAAGGTGGCGTTGGTCTGACTACAGTAAGATGAGCTGTTCCTTTAAAAGGGAAAAAAAAAATCCTCCACAATTCAATTCTACTGCCAAAAGGAGCTTCCAATACCCACCTGACCTGCCACAGAGCCTTTCCATGCAGGATTCAACAGGCACTTTGTGTGCTTATGATTGTGTTACCTCTAGTTAGTCCTTCAGGGATTAAGATAACAATTTTCACAGGATTTTAGGGAAAGATTGTCAAGCCTGTCTACTCAAAGTTTTTCACAAAGTGTTCATTAAGACCTGGCAATAACCTCCAGTTTTATATAGGCTCTGAAGATTACAATCTTTGTCAAGAGAAGTCAGGTAAGTTGATATTAACTATTCCAGATCTTGGCGTTTTCGCACGTACTTGGAGGAAACCATTTCAGCTGTGCTATCAACGCTCAGTGGAAATGTAGCAAATGAAATTTATTTTTATTAAATGTGTATTTATTGCATTTTACTGCATTCTCACACAAATAAATCTGAACTTAAAAAGTAGTTGTAGCAACGTAATGAAGCATGCAGCTGTAACACGGACGTATTTTCACATTAACTTGAAGTATTTCTTTAGAGCTGGTGCATGATGGTCTGCTTAAAATGAGAGATGACCCTTAGATGTTGGAACTGAAGGAAGGTAAGGAAATTCATACTCAAGGTCTTTCCTTTTTGTATTTCTTTGTTCTCTTCTGTTCTGCTCTGTTAAGCGTGAAGACACGAGGAAACTACTTGATATCTCATTGCACTCTGTTTGTACGGGAAAAATGGAAACAATTCAAACTTCATGGTTACCTGCCACATTAAAATGAGTTCTCCTGAAGCATAGCTAATAAACACATTGGTTTCAGATTGCTGTTAATGCAGAGTAATAGAGAAGTATTTAATAAGAGGTCTTCATGAGTGTATAAAGGTAATCTGAACAGGATTAAAATCTCCTATTCAGCAGTTCAGGGAACTCTGGATCAACAGTTCCAAGTAAGATGAATTCTACTAACATCATTCAGCTTAAAATAAACAGAGGAGGATTATCATGTCCAGTAGAGGTGAAGGAGAATTTATAACCAAAGGCTTGACCTTCAGTCTGTATCAGATAAATGTTTGGAAGGAAAACATTCTCTGAATCAGTTTATGGGATTTGTCTCTCTGCTCACAGCTGTGTGGCACCTGTGCCTTCAGTGCCTGTGAATCGCAGTGTAGTTTGAAATGGAAATTGTGATTTTGAGATGGAGGACAAAAAGGGTTTCATATTTGCAATCTGGACATGTATTTCAGTCATCACGGTAGTGTCACTTCAAGAGAGATACAGTTACAAAGTAATAAAGACTTGCCCGTGATAAATGAAAATTGGATATCAAATAAGCAGAGCAACGCAAATGTGACGTGTATGGTAAGAGTTAATATTACTAATATTCACATTGCTGAGAGATAAGGTATTTCAAGTAACAGTTCTAGGAATTTTTGTCACACATGGCTTTGAAATTTAAACAGCATAAATTTCAGAGGGTTTATGCTGGAAGAAGATTTCGGGAAGCAGCTAAAAGCTAATGCTTCAAAATTGAATCAGCCTCTACTAACTGAGGAGCAAAGGTAGTCTGTTGTGATGTCCCCAGTATTAAGATTTATCTGCAATTTCTTTCTAAGCATCTTGTACTGGCCAGGGGTAAATCTGGCATTCAGGCAAAACAAACACTCCCATGAATGGAGGATTTTTCATCATTTTATACCAACAATATTTAATATTTCTTTGCTAGAAGTAGAACAAGATTTGTCTTATTACGATCCATCCTTCCAGATTATATTTGTCTGTTGTCCCAGTCCTTAGATGCTTTGCTTGGTTGAGTCTGTAGTGTGTCATGGCCACACTAATGCCTTCTCTGAATTCCTGTTGGAAATCAGCATTATATGTGGAGAAAATTGTGTTTGTTAGCATGGAGGAGGAGCTCAGCAGGGAGGACAGCAGGGATCTGACAGTTTAGGTGAACGAGAAAGCATCTCCAAATATGCAGAGGATGCTTCCAAGCACAGCTTTGCATCTCACTTTATTTTGTTTGTACTTTTACAGCTGTTTTTCCTCTTTCTCTCTCTCTTTCAACGCTTTGTAAAACGGTCCTTTCCCGTGTTAATCCTCTTGCCTCTTCTCTGTCTCTTAGGAATGTGCTCTTTCTAGATCCTACTCTCACCTGCTGATGTCAGATGACTTTTCCCTGTCCCACCACCATGAAAAACTCCGAGCCAGCTTAAATAAATCAGTAGTAAGTTACATCATTGACAGGAAATTATCTACTATCTACTACTTCACTTAAAAGCCTTCATAAAACAGCTGTGTTTGCCCATCAGTCTGTAAAATGCTTTTATCAAGGATTTCAGTATTAGTCAAAATGTGATTCACTGGTGACCCAATGTTTCTCCAAGAAGATCCTGGAAATTAAGATTTCTCACTCTGGATGAGTACTGGCCTTTGATTTACAGGGGCAGACTGAAAATGGGGCAGGGGATGCCCTCTTCCCCCACCTCCTGGTTATCTGCCATGCAGACAAAATCCTCATGAAGGGCAGAGGTGTGGGGTCTTTCAGGGCTGCAGGGACCCTCCAGCCAAGCAGCCTCACACCTCAGGGACAGTACAGTGGCAGCACTTCTGTTGGCCATGTTTTCTGCTGATGTCCCTTGGGTCAGTGAGCAAAGAGACAGCACTGGCCTGGTCACAGCTGTGTGCAGGGAACAGGTCACGAGGAACGTGCTCAGAGGGTCTGTGGCCCATAAACACTGAACCATCATCATGAGGCGTGACTCATCCTAATGCAAAGTTTGCAGAGCCAAGGAGACACTCACTTCTCATAGTACAATCCAAATTCATAATGTTCTGTTTATAAACCAGCACATCAACCCATTTCTGACCTCGAAGACACAACCCAGTAGTTCCCCTTCAACAGGACTGGATGCACCAGCCACTCTAGACCCCCTGCTCCAAAACAAATGAAGTTACATACCTCTCTTTTTCATGATCACCCAACTCTCCATCTCCCAAAGCCTTCTCTCCCCAGCACCTTTGAAATGTGGATTTTTACTCATACTCAGCTCCACTGAGGTCTACCTCTCACTAACTCCTCTCTATTTCACTCAATCAAACCAAAAAGGACAAAAAATATGAAACTTGAGCAGAATCCAGAGATGTGAATTAGATTTACACCTGTCCCCACGCAGACTAAATCACCACTGCTTCCATCACATCAGGATGTGAGTGGGCTTGAGCTAATATATTAGTCTTCCCTAAGGACAGAGTCAAGAGATCAGTGAAAAAAAAGCTGTTACAAGTCCCAGCAAGCTTCGTAACACCAGAGGGTGGAAGTTGGGATAGCTTGCCAGGCAGGGTGGCAGGCTCTGTGATTTTCAGGACAGCGATATATTCACGGTTTGTAGTCTAGTAGTTTGTCAGATCCCAAATACTGTTGCAAGAAGAGCCAAGTTTAGGATTCTTTGGTGCTAGACCGGTCCATGGGACACTGGACCCTGTCCATGCAAAATTAGTCCAGCTCATAGGAAGGTGAGGGAGTACAAAGTTTGGGGACTGAGATTCGGCCAAAGCTTTCTCTCTGCCTCAGTCCTGGTCCTCTGCACATGCTGTGCAGAAACCATGGATGAGTCCAGGCTTGGGGCTGAGTGAAAAGGATTAGGCAGATGGGCTGAATCAATAGGATGAACTGCCTGAAAGCTTTCAGAGCTTCGCCTGAATTAGCAGAGCTGGCACTTACGCACTTTTGATTCATCAGACAAGCAAATACAGACACTTAAAACACAGAAATACCTGGTATTGTTTCATCATCCCAGGGAAGAGTCTCTTTAGAGCCACTAAGTACAAATTACCACATTTTCAGAATGTGGTAATTCTCTAGTGAGCTCAATATGAGAAATATTTTAAATATGATGATAATAGCTTGCTAATCAAACAGTATTATCTTCACGATAATGATTTGCTGTGTAGTTGCAAGATTAGCTATTCCAAGAGGATATTAAAAATAAAAAGTGGACTTTTCTTTTGCTAATTTTCATATGGTACCTCATTTTCTGACAATTACAGAGTTATTTGGCATGTTCCAATACTACAAAAACAGGGGAAACATGAAAAGAAACCTTTTTTTCCCTAACCACCTTCAATTACATCTTTGAAATCTGGAAAGGAGCTCTCTAAAAGGAAGAAAGGCAACGTTAATCCTTTCCAGGCAGATAGACAAGGCAGCACAGGACAGAACCTAGACAATAACTACGGAAATACAAGACAAGGGATGACAGGACAAGCAACATTTCTGCACAAAAGAAGCTCAGTCGATATCTGGTCTGAAATTTAAAGTAAGCAAATGTTATCCTGTTTTAACAGAAAGGATTTAGGCACCTGATATGTCAGTGTCATTTAGGCACAGGTCATCCTGTTAGAGAAGAAGGTTGTATCACCAACCTTACCAAGTCCCAAGAAAAGGCACAGCTATGCAGAACTCAAAAATCAAGAGTTACTCATGACACCCACACGTATACAGAAAATACTGATTGTGGGATTTCTGTTTCTTTGCCATTTCCACCATCAATCTTTCTCTGCATCACAGAGGTCTCCTATTTCTTCTATAGTCAAATAATTCGGGGACAAGGGCTGGACAAAGTTGCACACCACCACAAACATCACCAAAAGAGCATTTCTCTCTCCTAGACCAGCCACACCTGCTGGAAGTCAGCATCCATAATGCAGTGGTTCTGCTGGCATGTGGCAGCGAAGATGAGCCTGGGATTTCTGTGTCTTTTTCTGGTTTTCAGCACAGGTAAGGATGGTGGTTTGGTGCTCCTCATGGAATAACCAAGTTGTCTCTTTTCTGATTGCTCCCACAGACCCATTCCCACACCTGTGGCAGGCTTGGTTCTTTCACTCTGTGTAGGCAAGGCTGATGGGCTGGAGCTCCAGGGCAGGTCCCATGCCACAGGGCAGACCAGATTATGTCTATTCCTTGGATCCCATGCCAATAATCTGGAGTCAAAAAGGTTTATAAGTAAAGAGAGAGAAGGGTTAAAAAACAGAGAGCTGTTTGGTTTCTCAACAGAGAAAACTGTTCCTCAGTCTCTTTCTTCACTTTTCAGCCTCGTGTATAAGAAGAGAAAATAAGAAAGAGAAGCAAGTGGCAGTGCTGGCTACTGCAGGTAACAAGCAGCACGTCAGGAGTTGCAGTTTCAGGGTTTTAATGGGAGTGGGAGGTGTTGTGCTGGGCATGCAGGTGGCAGCAGATGGGCCCTTCTGCAGAGTCTGTGAGCCCAAACCCACCCCTTCTGTAAGGGCACCTCACCCAATCCAGGGCTTACTCAAGTCCCAGGCCAGGATAACCATTGTCCTTCCAAAATCTAATCTGTTTTCTCTTTTTCCTTTCTCTCCTTCCCTGCTCTTCACTCATTTCTGTTTTTCCTTTCCTCTTTTCTGTGCTGTGGACAAGCACTGATTTCAACCCTGGGGTGCAGCTCGGCTTCAAACTGGTTATAAACAACACTGATGTCATTGGAAAATTGTATTTCTCCACAAATTTGATTTTTTTCTCATGTCAGCTTTCTGTGATTCATTTTCCATCCTGCTCTGCTTTTCCTCTCTCTGTCATGCACACACAGACCTTCCTCCTCTCACACACACACTGAGCTGCTCTGCTTCGGCGTGACTTTGAGTGAGGGAAGCAAGAGAACATCTTCAGAAAATCTGAAAAAAAAAAAGAAAAAAAAAATCAGTTATTTTTCTGTAGGGTTGGGGCAGGGGGAATATTTCCTGGGCAGTTGCTCTGCTGTTTCTGACCTGCAAAGGGAGATCTACTTCTCTGTTGGCAGCAGACACCCATCGCCCAGCAGGAGGGGGCACCAGCACGCCAGGGCTGGCTGGGTCCTGCAGCTGCTCAAGGGCACCTTCAAGGGCAGAGCTGACAGACCTGAATTTTGGCCCACCACGCCATACCTTGCTATTTTCCAGACTCCTCTCTGGAACTTTATTTTTTCATTAGTGGGTTGTTTGTTTTTTTT